CTGGGAGAGGTTGAATGGCAACTGGGAGGGACTGGGGGAGACTGGGAGGGAACTGGGAACTGGGGAGAACTGCTGGGTGGGCCCTGGGCGTGTGCGGGGATTGACTGGGAGGGACTGGGATGCACTGGGCGAACACTCAGAGTGACTGGGAAGCACTGGGAGGGACTGGGACGGCACTGGTGGAGTGACTGGGAGTGACTGGGAAAGACTGAGAGCTACTGAGTCACTGGGGGAGCACTTAGAGTGACTGGGAAGCACTGGGAGGAACTGGGACGCACTGGGGGGGACTGGGAGGTGACTGGGAGGGACTGAGAACTGCTGGAGGGGCCTTAGGCGCATACTGGAATTGACTGGGAGTGATTGGGAGCCGACTGGGAGCTACTGCGAGGGGTCTGGGCGGGACTGGGAGAGGCTGGATAGAGGCTGGGAGGCAACTGGGATGGACTGGGAGCCACTGGGGAATAACTGGGATTGGCCGGGGAGGGACTGGGAGGCAACACTGAGTGGAAACTGGGGAGACTGGGACCTGAGAGGATATACTGGGATTGACTGGGAGCAGCCAGGGGATGGCTGAGAGGAAACTGGAGGGGACTGTGGGGAACTGGGAGGCACTGGGAAATGCTTGGGGAACACTGGGAGGGACTGGAAGTCTCCAAGGAGTGAATGGAGCGTGACTGGAAGTAACTGGGAGGCACTGGGGAGCAACTGGAACCACTGGTAGCTGAGCTGGGCATCTCCCAACACCCAGTATTCCCAGTTGCTCCCAGTCACTCCCCCTGCTCCTCAGCCACCTCCCAGAGCCTCCCAGTTGCTTCTCAGTTGCCCCCAGTCACCTCCCAGTGCTCCCAGATCACCCCCAGAGCCTCCCAGTTGCCTCTCAAATGACCCCAGTGACTTCCAGTTGCTCCCCACTTCTCCCCCCTGTGCCCCCCAGTGCCCTCTCGGTCACTCCCAGTTCCTCCCAGTCACTCCCAGAGCTTCCCAGTCAATCTGAGTGCTCCCCCAGTGACTCTGTAGCTCCCAGTCACACCCCAAGTCCCTCCCAGTCACTTCCAGTTCCCTTCCAGTCACTCCCAGTCCATCCCAGTTCCCCCCCAGTCACTCCCAGTTCCCCCCCAGTTACTCCCAGTCACTCCCAGTCACTCCCAGTCACTGCCTGTTCCCCCTCCAGTTACTCCCAGTCATTCCCAGTCATTCCCAGTCACTCCCAGTCACTGCCTGTTCCCTCTCCGGGTACTCCCAGTCATTCCCAGTCATTCCCAGTTCCCCCCAGTCCCTCCCATTTGTGGTTCTGGGTCGCTGGGGGGGGTGGGGACACCCTAAAAATACCCGGGGGGGGGAGGGGCTGGCTCGGGGCCCGACCCGGGCTAAAAAAAGCGGGGGGTCACGTGACCCTGGGGGGGGGTTGGGGGGGCGAGAGCGGCACCGGGACCCCGCGACCACCGGTAACGGGGGGGGGTCCGGGGGTACCGGGGACACACGGGATTGGGGTCTGGGGACACGGGATTGGGGTCTGGGGACACGGGATTGGGGT